GACTTCACGGGATGGCCCCAGGTATTTGGGCAACTGCAACTCTATTACTAATTTCTGTGATAGGAAAGACCAAAATAACTCCAGATTAACCAAAGGTCGCCTGTGGGCAGTTGAATCCCAACCCTCATTATAGAAGAAACAATGAGAAGAGTAGTTTAGCTTATGTGTTAATGTGTTAACAGCAACAAACTATGCATTGCACCCAGAAACTTTGTTTTTTCTTTCCTGTACTGCTCACAGGTAAGAAGACAGTGTCACAATGGTGTGAGCAGAAGCCAACAGGAGCGGTAATTGTTCCCCTACTATTGACCAGGTCTCATTATGTTCCCAATAGCATTATCCCTCCCCAATACAGATGAGAGCCATTCAGTCAGACACACAGACTCCTACTGTTCCTTACTAAAATACAATAGGAAAATACCTGGTATCAGAATATGAGACATTTGTCTGGCCTTTTACCTCATATTGCATATTCAATTTCAGTAGGTATATTCACTGAGACCAGGTTGGAGGAGGCATAGCTGAAGGGAAGTTAAGAGCCTGGTTTTTAAAATACATTGTTTTATATTGAATTTTTTAAAGACATTAAAGACATTGTATAGCATACAATGTTTTGAAACAAAATGTGTTCAAAATTAGCTCTCAAGGAGCAGCCAAACAAACTCAGAATGTATTAGACTGGAGCACAAAATGTGATTAAAAGCAAATGGCATGTGATAAATTGAATATCCAAAACTAAATGAGATGCCATGATCAAATGGGAGTAATTTTATTCTATGGAAAGAAGATATACCCAATTGGAGATGACAAATACTGATCTGAGTATACAGCACTGAAACATTGATATCACTCAGTAGATGAAAATAATGGTATGAGCTAAAGCAAAGGACAGAAGGGAAGCAAATAGACTCTGATTGATACAAAGGCACAGGTTTAACATGAAGGCCTATCAGGCATGCCATATCTATTAAGACACTGATGAAAAAAATGTGTGGTCTAAAAGCTGTGTATCTACCTCAGACTTCCAAAATAGTTTTGCCCTTAAATCTTTTAAGAGGCAAAGTTTCAAAAAATATATGTAAAAGAAGCATGAACCTGGTAAACTGATAATATGATTTATTACAAAAATTTGATCCATCCACAGTGCACTGAAGAACAATGAGCACTATGGTGGCAAGATATCACTTCATTAACTCTATTCTGATCAAAAGGGTTTTGTAAAGATGTTTTTCTAACATTACAAAGCATATATGAGAGTTTAGCTGAAAAAATGCACTGTATTATCAGCTACAGAAAATGCAGAAACCAAAGTAAAAACTCTCTTGTGACTGCTTTGAAAAATTACAATCTTGTAGTCATGAAAACAGCATTTTTATTTCTACAAAAAGAGGGATGAAGAAAGTTTGACATCCACTGCTAGTACAGCAAGCAGTGCAGCCTGTGTCATAGTTGTGTGCATTCTTTCTGCATTCACATAAGATATTTTCCTGTTCATGAAGATTTTAACAAATTTCCCCTCCTCCGAACTACATTAGAGTCTGTAGTGCACAGACACATGGGTAATGCCTTTGCAGGCAGAACTGTGATCCTTTTTTCTGCAGCCTGGGAAGGCCAACTCCCTGCTGAATATGACTGGGTTACAGCTAGGAAATCCTTAAATCTCTTAGTTTGAAGATTTGCAGATGAACAACGAGGAGCAAAAAATGATACACAGTTTGAAGATAAAACTTGTCAAAACTGTTCAGAAAACTATTCCAACTATCGAACACATTCATTAAAAGCTTTTTGGTTTTTTTTCTTTCACTGCTTTGAAAACGGTAGAATAAGGGGACATGATGTGACTGTGGAGCAGGTTCTCCCTGTAGTAAAAGCATGTTTTATCCTGGAGGCCACAGGTGCTAAGACTATCAGTGAAGAGTTTACCCCACCGTTTTTAAATTCTCAAGTAGTAATGTTTCCAATCCCCTGCTAAGAATGTTGTTAGGATGGTAATCTAAGGCTTACTAAACTTTACTTCTACTTGCGTATTAATCTCCTGAGTTCCTCTCTCCTTTTTATAACAATCGTCGCTCCAGCTTTCAGTAACAACACAAATCAACCTAAAATAAAACAAAAAGTTTATAACCCCTGCTCCACTCACTGGCAAAGCTGCGGCCACTGTGGGAGGCCGGCAGAATGAGCTCATTACAATGCATGAGCCCAAGCCAATCTGCAGTGCATGGGAGAGGCGTAATCAGTTTTACCTTCTCATTGTAATGCTTAATAAAAATAGATAATAAAGCATTTGGAGTACTGTTGAAGCAAAATGCTGGTTAAAATGAACCCGATAATAAAAGGCTCAGTGGGCTTTCTTGAATCAAGTGGCAGCCTCAAGCAATCAAAAAGAATTTCCCAAGAGCTTCCTTAATAAAGGAATAAAAGGAAACATTTACTTCACATGGCTCATTCTCCTCATCTTCTGTGGTTTAACTGTGTTTGTGCTTGGGACCCACAGTAATGCCTTCCAGCCCTTACGGAGTAATAATATCCTATGCCCCTTTGTCAGGTCAAGCTGCCCAGGTTGCAAGTGCAGAAACTACCTCTGTTTCTCAGATGTCCAGAAGAAACTTAAGAAACCTGCTAGTTAAGCATGAAGAGAGGGATAAAGAGTGAACCTTGTTTCTCTCAGTTCTAAGTGTCAGGAATGCCACTTATGGATGGTGATGGACAATAATTGAAAATGCAGGGCAATGTGCAGTTGGACACACAATGTGAGTGACGTGCATTTGAAGGACATATGGCTGGGAGGAAGACAGGGTATTAAAAAAGTATTAAAAATGCATAAGCACTGTCCTTATTTTCCACATTTCTTTAGCTGTCTCTCAAGTCTCAAAATTTGGAGGCCTATGGCACAATGTAAACAAGACATTTTTCTTGTTATTTTATTTTACTCAACCATTCTGTGTTTACATGCTGCACTTTTCCCAGAGCCACCTGACTAGGAGTGGGTAGTGGGTCCTGCCTGTAAATGGGAGGCGAAATAGACCATCGACCCAGGCCCACCAGGCCCACCTACCTTTCAATCAAACACTATGCTCTGACAGATACTGAAACCCCTCCAGCAGACACAGACTTTGGCATTAATCACATTGTATATGGTAAATTTTGTCTTTCAATGAGAAGAAAGCTTTTTTAGTTTGAAAGAAAAAGCCTGATCTATATTCCGCTGAAATAAATGAAAATACTCCCCTTAACTTCAAAATGAAAAATGGTTTGGAGTTTTAATTCATTATCTCGTTTCGTATGTAAAGTAAGTCTAGTAAATCTGTTTGCCTGCAATACTGAAAATTGTCAGGATGTGTTACGTATTGCAAGGAAAGGTGGAGCATTGCAAGGTAGTATGTTCAACAGCCCACAGGGTGGGAAGAGGAACCTTCTGCACGATGCTTCAGAGAAACACTTGCAGACCTCCAACACTACTATAGCCATGGTGAACTGCCACTGTGGTTTGCTTTTTTCCCCCTAAATGCAATATTTATACCCATACAACCTCTTCCTTTAAAAAAATTTCTTTTTTTCTTACCTCTCTGCCAACTGTCAGTAATAAATGGATGAAATCCATCTAGGTTTTCTTTGAGGATTACCAGAATATGTTTTGAAGAGACAGAGTCAGAAAGAAAGGAAGATGCATCTGTTTATACATTCTAGTCTTGTGACAAAGTAAAATATTTAGCAGTTCGCTAATGAAGGTGGAAAATGGAATGTGTTCTGCAAAACAAAGCAATCCTTTGAGAATCTGCTTAATGAGATGAAGGTTAGTCAATGACAGTTTGTAGTTTAAAGTCCCAAACTACCTGCATGGAGGAAAAGACACAAAGAAGAAAGAAGCTAAATATTTTCTCTTCTTTTCTCTAGCTCCCCCCCTTTTTTAATCTTTTTAAGAACAGAGGAGGGGAGAAGATAAGCACCAGGTCCAAAAATACCAGAAAAATAAGACACACTTACATAAAGAAAGGAGTTGTTCTCCTTTAATAAACTGTAGGAAGAAAATTGCACACAATTTGCAATGGTAAGCTACTTTGCTGTAGCTGTTTAATAATCCAATGCATTATATTTAATAGCCTGACAGTATGAACCCATATAGCCACATAATATCCAGTATTATTCAGTTCGATTGAATTTAAATAGAAGGGCTAAATACAGTCAACATTTTCTCCAGTGGAATTAACTGAATAAATGTAAATATGACAAATATGGATACAACTCATGGCCTGAACTGCCTTGTAGATCGAATCAAGGACAGAAACAGCCTACCCTTATGTGCTTCCTTAGTGAGTGATAGAATTTTGAAACCAGAAAGTATTCAAGATTGAAAAATTCACTAAATCCACTATCTCTATAAAGTTCATAAAAGACAATTTTCCACATATTGCTCTTAAATTGCACTTTTATTTAAACAAACAACTTCCAGAAAAAATTTACCATCCAATTCCACAGTTCATAGAAAAAGAAGGATTCTTTTCCATCATCTCATAGTGCCTGTCTGTTGAGGTTCGTACAAAACACCAATATTTACCTCATAATGAAGGATCTTTAAATGGCCCTTGAAAGCTGTGTGAAATTATTATGATACAATGCATGTAGAAGGTCTTTAATAATTTTAAACTCCTTGAGTCTACAACCTTAATGATGGCAACTGGCCAGTTCTGGACTTCCCAGTTATTTAGTGTGTTGTGCCCTTTGAAACTGAATGGAATTAATGGTCCCCCGTGTAGCTGGCATTGAATAATCTTACTACTGCAAATACTTCTTACTATTGTAAATACTTCAATCACAAAGTGAACACTGACTTTCAGTGTATGATGCAGTTCATGATAAATTGATTACTTAATAAGTACTGTTAGTGTATGATCCCAACACATTTGTGTTTCCCAGTGTCCTGGTTATCTTCATTCCATGTGTTCCTACAGCATGTAATTTCTTTGTTAATAAAGAGCAGGCATCTCAGCTTAATACGTTTAACACTTCCTAACAAAGCTCACAGAACAGGAAAGCCGAAATGTGCAAATACCTCCCCTGCTTTTTGTCTGATTAGGTTGTATCAGAGGGAATAGATCCAGTACACAGAGCAAGAGATTATGTTTTAAGGATGGTTTTTGATACATTCTATGTTGTTTGTTTATTAGAAATAATTCCTATGAATTATCCACATTCAGAGCCAGCAACTGCTACTTAATTATGATGCTATCAGTGCTGAATGAAGAATGACTTGATGGAAAACAAAATCCTTCATACAATTTATCAGACTGAATAACAATTCCAAATAATTAGAATCATAGATTGTCACAGAATGCAGATGGTGCTGCAAAGCCAGTTATCTAGAATCAGTCCAATCAATACGGTTTTATCTCGGGAAGGGTGTTATTCAAAGCCATACAGACAGGCCACCGTGCTTCCATTTTTTATGGGCCTCTCTTTCCTTAAATGACTGTTGAGAGGTCTTTTTTCTTTAACCTTATCATTTTCCCTGTACATAGCATAAATGATGTTCAGAAAGGTATGTTCAGATTCTAATATATCATATGACAAATGAACAGAGACAAAGAAGAAAGACAAAACCCACAGACTAATTGATAGGACTCAAAATTCCCATTAATTTTGGCACAATGAGGAGGCTAAGTTCATAATTAAAAAAAAAAAAAAAAACAACGTAGGAAAAGCAAAGTTAAGGTTTCCTTGGCAACCTTACTTTGACTCCTTCCATGACTTAAAAGATGGTCTTACATTCTTTTGCTCAGGTAATTCTTATCTGACATTTGATTTTTCCTCCCACTTTAGTGTACAGTTACCATCCTCTACTTACTGTTTAGTCACTTTATTGAATCAAATAAAGTTGGCTTTTACAAAATCAGACTAAAGGAAAGGTCAACATTTTAATTTTCACAGAGAAATAAAAGCAACCTGTTTAATATTTTGACTATATAATTATTATTAGTTTATTATTATTAATCGTTATCATCATCTATATTTTTTCCTCTATTCTGTGAAGAGTCATGAATGTCTGCAAGACTGCTGCATAGCCCCCAGAAACCTAAACTAAGACTAAAACTACTGCTTCATCCAGTTTTGCTCAAAACTGTTCTCACAACTGGTCCTGCAAGGAGTTGAATGATGATACTATTCCATTTCCAGAGTGCTCTTAAGAGCATTGATGGTCCATAAAATTTCATATAGTCAGCACAAAGAGATAGGGATGGTCTATCATTCTTGATGTTTACAGTGGAGAATTGTGGACAACTCTGGGGACAGAATTAGCCACTTGCTGGCTGAGGGGAGGGAGATGAACAAAATGGTGAAAGGGGGCTCCTCCTCATCTCCTTGTGACAGTCTCTGGATCTCTGCACAGCCATAAATGCTGAGTTCGGACTGTTTCTTTCTGTACTGCAGCAACTGCACTTGGTCAAGTCTGGCTGCCAGAGACAAGCTTGGCAAATTTGATTGTTCAGTGTAAAGGAAAAGCTATGTTCCCCATGAGTGAAATCCAGACCTGTTGTAATACAGCTGACTTCAGCCAAGCTCTCTTCTAGGATTGTAGCTAAATGAAACAAGAAAGATGGAATTAAAAAAAAAATACAAAGAAATAAAATGTTGTGTCTTTTATTGCAACTCTAGTGAAAAATGCTCTAGAATTTGCACAGATTTCCTACAGTGTTTGTGACACAGGTAGTGTTCTCAGCCCTGCTCTTGATTCATTTTTTCTCTTTTTAATTCTTTCATAAAGAATTAGCTCAAACATGTATATATATTGACATAATTTGGGGTTGTCATGGCAATGCTGCTATACCAGAAATAAATGCAGTGTGAAAGTATAGTGTAATTATAATCAGAACTGAGATTCAAAAGGAAATATTTCTGAGGCAACTTTAAGTCAATACAATGCAAGTACCTTATTTTTATGCATCTGAGGAGATCTTATTTTTATAGCAGATCTTTAAGCAGAAAGGGCATTACTGAGGGTTCACTGAAGTCAATCAGATTCTCGGTTCTCACTGTTGATTTCAGCAATTGTTCTCTCAGAAGTGTACATTCATTTTGCTTTGAATCTACGCCTGGTAAAACACAAAAAGCAGACATTCCTTTCAGTATTTGCACTTCTAATGTTTTCTTAGTTTCAGGTTGTGGCCAATGAGTATCAGTGTGGATGCAGGTGAAGGGGGGGTTTTCTTACAGTCAGTCTGTAAATTCCTATCTTGCAAACAATGGCTGTAACCTTCAACTACACACCAGTGTATAGAAAGGAAGATGTGTGGGGAGGAGGAGGAGAGGGATGAAGTTTAAATCATTTTCAGTCTCCTCCGTGCTGCCTTTGAAAGAACAATAAGAAACACAGATGAAGGGATGGGGGGAAATTGTGGCAAACCATGCACAAAACATCATGGGGCAGGGGAGGGGGACATATAGCTAATATACCCTAAGGCAGCTGGTCTTATGTCATAGAATATCTTTTAAATAGTGTCATGATTTGGAAGGAAGGGGGGACTTCATCAAGGTGCTTGAATTTTTGAACATTAATAAAAGGCTGACCTTGATAATACAGCTTCAAGACAGAAGGTTGTCTTTCTTGTTACAGTAAATCAGTCTCTTGCAACTATTTCTGCTGAGATGTCTGTCTGAACATCAGTGATGCTTCTGCTGTCAGTGTCTTAAGACCCTTTAATACTTTTATAAAGGACATTTTTCCTCGCAGAAAAAGCCTACCATTTGATACCTTTACCAAAGCTAAGAAATAGTTCTTTGTCCTTGCCTTTAATTTCAACTACTTCTTTTCAGAATAAATAATTATTTTTTTTTCTGTTTTTGTCAATAAAAAGAAAAATCAGGGTATTTGTATATCTTGGTTGCAGATACATCTGGGAATAAGTGTGAATTTCACTTAAATATTATAACTGCACTCAGAATGTCAGTTTCTAGTATAGGTATGCTATCTAAATGGCAGTTTTCTGTCATAGGTTATGCTATGTCAGAAAATAAGACTCAATGCTCTTGGCCTTCATTATAACCTTTAATTTGCTTATACTGCACATGGTACTTGACATGAGGCTGCACTAATGCTGAATACAGTGGGACAATCCCCTCCTTTGCCTGGCTGCTGATACTATGTTTGATGCAGCCCAGGAATGGTGTTTGCCCTCCTGCCTTCCAGGGCTCACTGAGCTGCTGCTGACCAGCACCCCCAGATCTCTCTCTGTAGGGCTGCTCTCCAGCCACTCCTCTCCCATTTTGTACTTGTACCAGGTGTTACTCTGTCATAGGTGCAGGATCTGGTATTTAGGTGGTTAAATTTCAGTGCTGACACAGAAGGCACTAAACACTAAGGTTTCTCCAAGCATCTCCTACTGCACTGAGCGCTCACAGCCCTTAAGCGGTCACAGGAAAGTAGAGTTAGCCTTCTGCTTTTTTATGTGATATATCTATATCTATATCTATATATCTATATCATCTATATCTATATATCTGAGTGCATGTGTGTGATTTCTACCATCATATATTTTTAATAAATATGTAGAATATTATATAATTCATATATTATATAATATAGGTATTTATAACATGTAAGAAATAAAATAATATCATACTAGCAGGAGTCTTAAAAGGCATAGAGGAAGCTAAATAAGAGACACTTTGTATTGACAGAAAGTAGAGAGGAAAATAACATATTCAGTGAGTGCATTATCATTTACAGGTGATTTTGATACATCAAATAGCAGATTCAGCATAGCAAGCTGGTGTATCCAGAACAATCACTCAATGAGAAAGGTTTCCTAACAATAAGAGCATGCTTTTTGAGTCAGGAATTGATTTTAATGGATATGATGTGGATAAAAGGCTGCACAGTATTTTGAAAATTGAGGGCTCGCAGTAAATGTTTTACTTTGTAGACAGATGATTCTGCCAAAGACGGTATGGCTGATTTTCAAGGGGCAAAAGAAACGGAGTGGCAGGAAACTTTAACTTGTAGAACGGTCACAGCATATTGCCACAGTATGCTTTTCAGCAAGGAGAAGGAAGGGAGGAAATTAAAAACCTTTCAGACAGCTTGCAATGAAATTTAGGTAACTGAGACACAAAATTGTTTTTTCTTATACAGTGCATTGCTATTTAGGGATCACCGAGAAGCAAGAAGCACTGAAGACTTCCATGTCTCTGACACTAGCTGAGGAGGAAAACGGACTTGTAAAAGAGATATTACAGTTCTGTGGCACATGGGCAAACAAACTGACTACTAATAAGGCCCTGGAATTCAGACCCCTGAAAGAGCAAAACAGATCAGTTTTCTTCATAAACAGCAATTAAATTTGACTTCACTGCTTTCATAGATCAGTTCTAAGTACAGAGGACTGCACTACTGCACAGTTCATTCTATAACTAATTTATTTGAAAGTAAAACCAGATCTGGTACAAAAATTTTCACAGCCTGCTCTTACTGAATGCACACAATAAGATGTAATTGAGAAAAATAAACCAATCCAGACAAAAAAAGCCTTACAAAATTGAGAATATGTACCAGTAATGTCAGGTAAAAGACAGGCATCAAGACTGCAGTAATTTTTCTAAAACAGTCATAAATTTGAAATGAAAAATTTAACATAATAAAGTGTGTGAATTCACAGCTGAGCAATTAAAGTAATTTAAGTGTATCATCTGAAGTTATAGCAAGGAAAACAAATTGTAAAGGATTACAGTATTTGTCTTTAAAAAGTAGTTCAGTCTAATATGGTACCACAAGCACTGAAGTCAAAACCAATTTTTGTTACAGCTATTTTCAACATCACTGAAATCTGAACTAGGAATAAATTAAAGAAAGCTTAATAGGTGCAAGCACTTCTTCCACACTGCTTGGCAACCTTTTGGATGTTGCTTCCAGTGTCACAGCCTTTGATGTGTTTCTGCCATCCTCTTAAAAAAATTGTAAGTGGAATGGAATGATTTATTTGTACTTATCAACTCTGAGATCAGAAACTGTTGTTCTAAATACCTTATCTAGTTTCCTTTATATATAATCTATGCATGTATATTTTTCCCGGAAGCCAAATGAAAGAATTCTGTGTTCTTTTCAAGACATCTAATCTCATTTGAAAGACTCCAATGTAATGGAAAATGTATCTCTTCTCTATGTAATCTCTCCAACTGGAAATTAACTTCATTACTAGGAAATTACATCTGATTTCAAGGTTGAATGTGTATGACTTCAGCTCTAAGATGCCGGTTCTTGTTATTTCGTTGCACATTGGGGAAAAGGAAAAAAGTTAACACCACTATCAATTAACTTTTTCCTTAATACTTTTCCTACTATACCACAATAAAATAATTTCTTACCCTTCCTATAATTTAAGATCATAATATGTGAAAATGTAATACTGCAGGTATATCTTTAGAATCCCAAGCACTTAATCACTTTGTGATCCATCCCATCCTTTCCAGATAGGAGACTCCAGAACCGAAGGCAGCACTGTAGTACTGACCTTCCTGGTGTAATGAACAGACCTGCACAGCCATTAGACAACACATGATGGACCTGTTCCCTTCCTTGGCCTGAGGGGAAAATGACTCTTGGCAACTCAGAGTCATTTCTGCTGCCTTGACTTTTTGACATTGAGCTGCATTAGAGAGCAACTGAAGAACGTTAGTTATCAAGCAAGGAAAAGAAACAGTGACTACAGCCTATCTCCTAATATCTTAATGGGCAAAAGGGGACAAAGAGTTGTGAGGGTTTTAGTCTTGTCCATATAAACATAACGCATTCAAATAGCTAGGTACTGTAGCAAATGCATTTAGAGGAGAAATGAGATATACACCTTTAACAAGGAGGATTACTTACCACCAGAACCACTACCTAGAGATGCAGTGGATACTCCAGTGGGCATTAATTACTTGAAGTCATTTAAAAAAGGAGCAACTCCATTTTTCTCACAAATTACCTAGCCTACCCCCCAGTAGTAAATTGATCAGGCATCAGTTTACTGAGTAATAATGTGAAGCTTAACTTGTAGGAAATACTGAAGTAAAAATGAACTAACAATATGCCTGTAGATATTACACATCTTTACATGTACAAAACCCCCCTGTAACAGGTACTGAAGTATGAAGACTTGGACAGCTTTGGGGTGAGAATGGAAGCCTTGCTGAAGCATCCTGCTTAATGGGATAGAACAGCTCCCACAGGAGCTGAAGATACTCCCAAAAGTCTCCTTGCATATAGCTGGTGGGCTTTAGCTCTGAATTTCACTACAGCTTGGAGACTACAAAGCTGCATAATATCCTGGCTGTAAACCTGAAGGAATGAGGTAAAGCAGGATGGGGTTTATTCAGTTTCTTTCCTCTTGATAAGTGAAGTAGGTGTAAACCTGCTTCCTGGAAGTTCACCTGAATCCTGTTAAGTAGTAACATTAACAACACAAACAAAAGCATCTGTGAATTTACTAAGGCAATGTAATAGTTTGCAATGTCTTGCCTTTAGAGTGAGGAGAAATGTTTGGAATTTGTCTTAAAAATTTCTTTAGGAGTCTAAAACCAGCATCTTAAAGAAACATGGATTTTTAAAACTCTCTCATAGTTTGAGTTTTTTTTTCTTTCTTGGGACTCAGATTTTCAACTGTTTATGGTTGGGATTTTTTTCACTCAAAATTGATGAAAATACAAGTAGGTTTCCTTGTCTTTCTGAAAAATCACCAGGTGTTTGATGAATCCTCTAGGCACGAAATACGGCAGCTCAGTAGGTGGCTAGAGCTGATGTATTTTTCCTTTTGAAAAAACATAAAACTTTATTTCAGTATGAATAAAATACAGCTAAAATAGCATTTCAATTTTGCAAAGAGCAAGTTAGAATGAGATGATTCTTATCCCACTAATGAAGATATTTGGAAGAGGAACCAGAAAAAGAAGTACACTTTGTACACAGAGTTAAGTCTAGCAAACCTACTGTGGACTTGAGGAGGAGGTGGCAGAGGTTTGAAAGCTGCATGTGGAGCATGCAGATGGCAAGTACAGCAACTCCCTGCAGAGTTTCCTCTGTGGCTGTGGGAGTGGGATCCTTGATTACTGAAGGTGAGGATATTTCTGAATTGCTCTCCCACACATCTTTTAGCTTTCCTGAGCTCAGGAAGGTAACAGAGGAGTCTCTCTTGCCCATGTACCATTGTACACAGCCCACTGTCTGCAAAGAGACACTCCAAGTAGTTTTTTACTGCTCACTTTCTCTGCTACTCTCCAGCGTGGGAAACATCACTAGCAAGAGTGAAAATAGGGCTTTTTTTATGGGTAGTGGGCCATGGCAGCTGCCTGGATGAGGTTGCTGAGTGAAGGGGTAATCTAATCTCCATGTGACACACAGAGAGCTCATTGGAGGGGACATGTAAGTCTCATCACAAGCCACTCTGGGAAAGAAAGAGGGTAAGGGCAGGAACAATCCCTTAGACCAATGAAGACTTTGACACATTAACCCTTTCTTCTCACCTTTCCTTTTTTTGGTTTTGATTGTTATATCACCTGTTTCCTCTTCTGTTGCTTTGGATTTCTTAATTTTTAATTTTCTCAAGATTCTTTATTAGTGCATTAAGTCACACTCTTTATTAGAGACACAGCTTTGTCCCTGGTTCCCACACTGGCAGCTGTCACACCAAGTTTTTGTGAGCCCACATAATACAGAATATGCACCAAAGCATGCAAGGCTTTGAGAGGGTCTTCCTTCAGGCCTTCAGAAATACACAGTGTTGATACAGAGGAAAAGGAATTTATTTGGAGTTTTTTATTATTTTGAGTAACAGAACACTGGGAATGGAAAGTAATGGGAATTTTGGTCAGGAATTCCACCTGCCTCTTTCCATCTGTCCCTTGTCTTGGATGACAAAGTCTTGAAAAACAGAACTTTATTTTTATTTTTTGACTAGTGCTCTGTATCTCTACCATGCCCATTCTAGGAAGAAGAAGATGTAAATACATTAGGACATTTGTATTGGCTCAAACCAAAGATGCATCTAAGCAAGTCTCCTGCTCCAACAACAGCTCACAGAACAGAAATAGCAAAAGCAAAGCTAGTGTTGGCATCCAGATTTGAGCAATCTGAAGCTTTGGGACTTCCTAAACTAGAGGTCTTATTTTTTAATAATCCTATATTATGACATTTCCCAAATAAACTTGCAATGTTCACATTATCCTGTGAAAACGTGTCTAATTAGACCTTCTTTTTTTTCATCTTTAGCCTCTGTTGAACAATTTCATTCATTGCTTGCTTTGAAAAACTGTGGTAGCAAGAACAAGATCAGCGGTAACATTGCCTGAGCAAGGTGTTGAATCTGCAGTGTATGATACTAGCTCAGATCACTGCACTAACTGAACCCCTCTGATTTTGGTGGAAATCTGTGAAAGTACATGGCCCAATGAAGAAAGATGTTGTAGGAGTTCATCTTCAGAAAATGCTGAGAAAACATTTGTTTGTTTAACTAACATGGTGATGATTTAAAAAAAAAAATGGAAGTTTTGACTCTTGTCACTCACTAAGAAAACTCTTTACTACCAGGAATTTTGGAGCTTTGCAGAGTTTGAAACTCAGATAAAGATGAAACTATACAAGACAATGGATTAAATACATTTCACAGTTTAGGAATGAGGTTTTTTGAGGTACTTAAATGACCTGAAATTCACATAAAAGAAAAATGTCTTTCTGATTGTACATCTTAAAACAAGACGGTTGCTAAGACTGTGTTATAACATTTCTCAACAGTACATTCACGCTTACATTCAGCAATGACTTTCACAAACCAGAATTTTTATCAGCCATGATCATTAGGCCAAATATCAAAGTTCTTTCAAGGCTGCTTTACACTGTAACTGATGACATTTTCACCCCAGATTACGGGACCCTAAGAGTACCACCTCTCCCTAATCACTATTAATGAATATATCAGGCTTTTGCTATTAGAATACTCCTGCACTTTGTTACCTAAACAATGAAAGGTCTGTACAAGGAAACAGTTTTAATGTTTCTTGAGTAATGGTCTATGAGAGAATAACTCCATTTCACATAACATTTCACATTTTTAGCGTGTCTTGTCACTTTTTCTTCCCATTGCGGAGTGCCTCAGGAAGTGATCCCATCTTTATCATGATTCTGGTAATATCTTTTTTCGGTACAAACAACCCCCATTTCATTGCCTTGCATTTGTATAATCACACTTCATGGAAAATACTCCAGGGTCTCATGGTGACTAAACATTTTTCTGGTGGCATTCTTTCCCCACATTGATTCCCTCTTGTTTGTGCTCCAAATTTTCATTCATTACTGCAATATGAAGTAAAAATAATTAATTCAACAGTGACATAACCATACTATTTACACACCAGTAAGAGTCAGGATATCATAAAACCTTGCCTATAAAGATGAAATAACATTTGTTATGAAAATGGACTTAATAAAAAAGAGCAAAAGTAAGCCTAAAGATAACTGAAAAGAGGATAGTATAAAAATAAATAAGATTAAAAAGCAATGTGAATTTTATCATGAGCCATTGACTGGGAAGGTTTACAAAAATTGGGGTTTTTTTCTATAAAATTTGCTGATGTTTGAGTGCCAAAAAGATTTCAAACCCTTTTTAGTCAAATTCATAATTTCAAAACATAGAAATAAAAGATCAGTTTATTTCTAAATTGTTCTTTCTCAGACAGGTGTGTTGAAAAAGTTAATGATTTCCGTAGAAAAATTGCAGGTCATTCATGGCTTGTGAGATATTCAATGAAGTTCATAAGGGTGTTCTTAACTTCCTCTCTTAAAGAAATGGCTACCTTCTCTGCACAGGAACAGGGCATATGAGGTGGTGTTTGAGAAGCCACAACTCAGTATTTTCACTGTTGTGCAGATTGTCTCACAGCAGAGAGCACCAACCAATGCCTGTGCCACTCTCCTCAGACCCTCATGAATACGTGGGTGCTGGTAGCCTCTCACACATGGGCATATACCCAGCCTGGCATATCTGGGAAGGCAGAGAAGTAAAAAAACCTTGGTTAATCTCTCTATTTGCTCAGTTTTGGAGCTCTCAAAACATTGTAGTTGCTTAGGGATGTAAAGGAAAAGAACCTTCAAGGCCAAGATAAAATACATCTGGATCTGCCAATGGTGTTTTAATGTTCCATATCTGAGCACGTGTTGGAATGACTTCACTGGGAGCACTGTCTGAGTGTAAAGATGCACCATCTGCCTTTGCATGCAGTCCTTTTTCTGTTAGTGAGATATTTAGATTTCCTGTTTCTGCTGTTGAGATCTGATACTGAAGATAGGTAGTTTAGCAGATACACATTATGGTCTCAAATATTGTCCTAAGAAGTATCTGGGGCCTTGTGTTCCTTTCCTTCATGAGCACATTCAAAATCATTTCTGGTTGTGAGAATACTTAAAGCCTTAGTCTTTTTAAAAAAACCTCAGCACTAAAGCTAAAATCATTGGCCTGCCCTTAGGAATACTAGAACTATTTGGAGGCAGCTTCATTGTTCAGATCTGGAGTAGCAGAAAATAACTGAGTAACACGATTTTATGTGACTCTTCTGCCCAGAACAGTAGATATTTCAGATGAATCAACATTATCACTGAATCATAAAACGGTTTGAGTTGGAAGGGACCTTTAAAGATCATCCAGTCCAAATTCCTTGGCAATGAGGGTACCCAAAACCACAGCAACACAGTCTCTGTGAATGTGGGGTCTAATAGCAACTGTTCTGTCAAAAGTTGTGCCATGAGAACTGAGACTACAATCAGCTTCTAGACCAGTTAATATTGAATCATTCATACATTATGAAACTGTTCCTATTACAGTGCAAGTGAGAGCATAGCTAAGGAGATGTTCATTTGCTCATGGTAGGCATATGAGAGTTAGTTCTGTTAACACTCGGAGAGAGCAGAGAGTGAGAAAATTGACCCCAAAGTCTTCTGCCTATCCTGCATCTCACCTGCTCAAAACTGGACAAAGAGAAAGAACTGGGTAGGTATAAAAAATAGGAGTTAAGAGTTGATAGATTGGATCGAGAAAAATAATTTCAATATATCTGTGTAGAAAAAATCTAAGACTGAAGGAGAATAAGATAAATTTGTGTGCAAGTTTGGAGCTGGCTTCCCACCAAGTCTCCAAAACTCGACAACAGAGCCTTGCTTCCCGGAGAGGGGAGAAAAAAAAAAATCAAACAGCCAAAGTTAAAGCAAAAATATATTTTACATATAAAACAGATATATACAGTGAGAATACTATATACCTATAACCCCAGAAACCTTAAATAGCTTCTTAAAAGGGAAGAGGGGAAGGGAGAAGGGAAAAAGGACAAAACAGGACGAAAAGGGACAGAAACAAAACAGGTATATATGCAACCTAAAAACCCGTTAACCAGCAAAATAAAGAACTGGCAAAATCTCACCACTTCCCTTGAGAGAAGTAGGATGGCTGGACGCAGCCCAGCACTCTCCCCTCACGTGTGGCAGACAACAGCAGTCGATACAGGCCTCAACTTCAGATAAGCAAGACCACGTACGGATCTACTGTTCTCAAACCTCGCCGGAAGAGAAAAGAGCTAAGGTCTTGCTGGTTGGCTTATTTATACCTCAGGTTATGTAAAGGGATAGCATGGAATGCTTCCTGGGTCACAAGTTAGTTCCTTCCTGGTTACAAGCTGGTCTCCAGGAAGGCCTAGGGTGAAAACTATCACAATTTGCTGTTGAGAAACTAAAGCCTAAATAAATATACTCAAACGAAAAATTGTCAGAAACTTTGTTTGACAAAGTTGCTTAGGAGAATACACTGAAATGTTCCTAGATGTGATAGAAAGCATGGTGAAATTTAAAGAAACTGACTTTCAGGAAAATAATACTTGACTGCAGGATGGTCTCAAAAAAGGAAAAAAAAAATCAATCAACCTTGAGACACTCAATATTATGTCAAAGTTGAACAAACAAATATTTTTATTGTTATATGAATTAAAGTATAATAAGCTTAATTTCAAATCTGTTAAAAACAACAGAAATCCTATTGCTTAGTGAAAAGCTTTCCATTATTTTCATGAAAAGTTTACCTTTCCCCACCAATTAAGTTTAGGTGAATATATGAATGAAATATAACTTACTTGGAAAATGTAAAAATAAAAAAAATATAAAAATAATAAATTTTAAAATAATTTTTAAAAATTAAGTCTTTAAAAGTACAAGTTCTACAGTGAAGAAAGTGAAAATATGTAACATTCCTTTTTGTGCACACAAATGAGATTTTTTTATTTATACTCTCTATTTATCCTGTTGCTAGAAAACTACTTCAACCTTAATTTCAGTCAGATCATCTTTAGACATCTAGGCAAAGCCCTAGAATTGCTCCACCAGAGACAATCTTCAGAGACAGAAAAATTGATAGTTGCTTTTTATTGCTCTTTTTCACTTTGTGAGGTAAATAGTGAGAGAGAATAGTGACTTTTATAGGCTACAAGCACAGTATTCCAGCACTGACTCTGGTAGAACACAATTGACCTGATGCACCCCTTCAACATTGTCTGTACCACAGTCCTGTTCTGGAGTCCTCCCAGCATTTTATCTAGAGGTGCTGTGTGGTAATTTCTGTCCTCACAACAGGCACAACCACCCCAGCCAGAAGATCTCATTTGTTACCTCTTTCCTCTACTTTCTTCGAACATTTCATGCTCAAACATTTTGAGCATGTTCACTTAAATTAACTGTTTCTATGACCAAAATGTCAAAATTGAACGTCCATTTCATATACCTGAGTCCATGCTGTTGAGATGTGACCTCTATTTGCTGGCATACCTTTCTGAGCTGGTTACTCCAACCAAGAGTGATTTTGCTGCTCACTCCCTGCATGGGTCCCAGTGCTGCTCACAATCCCCTGGAAGTATGTCCTCGTGGAGACCATACTGCTCATTTCATCTTTTGGAGTAAACTGCACTTGGTACCATCGCTTCTTTCAGATATCTTCATTTGCTGTTATTACTATGCTATGAAGTTCCTTTGTCTGGAATAATTATTAGTAAAGAGTTGTTTGGTCACACAAGAGTTAACTAGCCTGGGAGTTAACCAGCCTGCTTAGCTACTCCCTTATGCCAGTTTTATGAAGATATAAGCCGGTTTTGTTTGGTTCTTTTTCAGTAAAGGGGGAACAATGAAAACTTGTACTAGCCTGTGATGACACAGAAGTTACTTGGCACAGCAGCAGATGCAGAGCACACCCCAGTGCCCAAGACAATGAGATCTGCTGGCCAGACTTCAACACAACCTTCTTGAAGAACTGAGGGCAGAGCCACATCTTGGTGGTTAATTAGCCCTCCCTACCAGGGTGAAGGAGGTGGAGGTAAGAAATAGGTGCTTCCGTATGATCCTAAGGCTGCACAGGGAGGGCTTTATTGTCTTCAGTGAACACCAGAATTGTGCTGGGGAAAACACCCTTTTTTTACTTCTTACAGAAGAGCTGTCTTTTCTGAGACAGCTTGACAATGCCCAGGATCATACAGGCAAGTAAGCAGTCTAAAACACCCTTTGTCCTCATGTAAAAGAAGTCTAAGAGCTTTCTCAAACATACAGAGGAAGACCATTTGGCTCTAATACTGAATTTGAAACAATCTAGCTAAAATATGACAGACACAGAAATCCAGTATACTAGTCAAAAAACTTCCCACTACATTTATAATTAAATATAGCACTTAGGAATGAAAAGATTCTGTTATCCTTCTTATTAGGTTTATGTAGGTTTGGCTTTGGACTAATAGCTATTTATAGAAATATGAAATAATAATCTAGATAATAATATGAATTCTGATGGTTAATTTTAGGATGCTCCTTGGTACTAGGGTCCTCCTATATCCTGGGACAGATACAGGAATACACTGGTCAGGGACTGCTGCTTGCTGACTGTGGGATGGACTGTAAATCACTACCAGGTACATCATTTAAGAATAAGTAGCTACATAAAGATTATTTGTGAATTTTGATGGGGCTGTGAAGCCAAGTGGAAAGCTACAATTTTTTAGGGTCAAAGAAATAAGAAGGCTCATTCTCTACTTGAAGGTACCTGGTGAAAATGTGTAAAAATCTGCTTTCCAAGAAAAATCTTTTGGCAAAATTATGGATTCTGAATACAAGCTCCATTTATTTGTTCACAGACTTGAAGTTTTATAGGCAGAGTTATAAATTCATAACAGTTTTCCTGAGTGTTGATATTTTCCATTTTGGAATACTGGTGAAATGCAAGATGTTCACAGGCACAATTATCATTGTATATTTATAAGAAGGGCTCAGCATTGTGACAGCATTTGAATATAAAATCCAAGATACTTGCATATTCCTTAAGTACATAATTGATTGTGTATTTTTATTTTGCATTCAAATATGTTTTAAT